CAGGGGGCGCCACCCCCTTCCCATGATGCCCCGCGGCCGCTCCGGGGAGGGCGAAAGCGCCTTTTTCCCGCCTCACCGACGGGGCGGGACTTCGCCTCTCCTGACAAATAGAAGCGGCCGATCCCGCCTGTCCGGGCGTTGATTGGTGGAATCACCGGCGCTCAGCCAATCAGAACGCGAGGGGGGCGTGGTGACGGACAGCGGCGGGAATGGCTGGCGAGCTGAGCGCTGAGGCGGAGCGGGAGATCCGCCGTGAGTCGGGGCTTTAATGGCGTTTAACGCGTTTTAATCGGCGCTTCAGGGGCTTTAAGCAGGGCTGGGAGGCGGCACGGGCACCCTCAGGGCTCGGGGAGTTCCTCTTGCGCCGGAACCTCCTCAGACGGACCCGCGGTTCCCTCAACCTTTCCCCCCCTCAGGCCGCCCTGGGCTCGAATCCCCTCACGGGGCTTGAAATCTTCACTTCGGGGCTTTTTAAACTCTCAAACCTTTCCCAGGGGCTCAAATCCCCTCACGATTTTAGGCTCAAATCCCTCCAAAAGGGCCCAAAATACCCTCAAAATTCCCTTTTTTTTCCCCCTAAAAAATGAAATTCTCCTTCTGGAGTTCCTGAATTCTCACAGGGACTCAAATTCCTTCACTATTTTGGGCTCAAATACCTCCAAAAGGGCCCAAAATCCTCTCAAAATTACTTTTTTTACCCCTAAAAAATCCAATTCTCCTCCCGGAGTTCCTGAATTCTTCCAGGGACTCAAATCCCCTCACAATTTTGGGCTCAAATCCCCTCAATAGGGCCCAAAATGCTCTCAAAATTCCCTTTTTTCCTTAAAAAATCAAATTCTCCTGCCAAGGGCTCAAATCCCCTCACGATTTTGGGCTCAAATCCCTCCAAAAGGGCCCAAAATCCCCTCAAAATTCCCTTTTTCCCCCTAAAAAAATCAAATTCTCCTGCCAAGGGCTCAAATCCCCTCACGATTTTGGGCTCAAATCCCTCCAAAAGGGCCCAAAATACCCTCAAAATTCCCTTTTTCCCCCTAAAAAATGAAATTCTCCTTCTGGAGTTCCTGAATTCTCACAGGGACTCAAATTCCTTCACTATTTTGGGCTCAAATCCCTCCAAAAGGGTCCAAAATACCCCCAAAATTCCATTTTATCCCCCTAGAAAATCAAATTTTCCTCCCGAGGCTCCTGAATGCTCCCAGGGGCTCAAATCCCCTCACGATTTTGGGCTCAAATCCCTCTAAAAGGGCCCCAAATAGTCTCAAAATTCCCTTTTTTCCACCTAAAAAGTCAAATTCTCCTTCCAGGGGCTCAAATCCCCTCACGATTTTGGGTTCAAATCCCCTCAAAAGGGCCCAAAATCCCCCCAAAATTCCCTTTTTTCCATCTAAAAAGTCAAATTTTCCTCCTGAGGCTCCTGAATCCCCTCCAGAGGCTCCAATTCCCCTCATAGGAATTAATTAAAATTTTAATTTTAATTAAATTTTATCTCCTCAGATGATTAAAACCTCCTGAGGGTCCCTCAAATCCTCCCAAAGTGGCTCAAAATCCCCTCAAAATTCTCATTTTTTACCTCAAAATTCTCTTTTTTTGCCCCCAAAAATTCTTCTTTTTTCCCCCCCAAATTCTTCTTTTTTCTCCCCAAATTTTTTTTGTCACAAAATTTTCTTTTCTCTCTCCAAATTTTATTTTTTCTCCCAAATTCTCCTTTTTTCCCCTCCCAAAAAATTCTTTCCCCCCAAGTCTCCCTTTTTTCCCTCAAATTTTCCTTTTTATCCCCAAATTCTTTTTTCTCCCCCAAATTCTTTATTTCCTCTCAAAAATCTCTTCTTTCCCCACAAAATTTTCCTTTCCCCCCCAAAAAATTTTTTTTCCCCATAAATTCTCCTCTTTCCCAAAAAAATTTCCCTTTTCTACCCTAAATTTTCTTTTTCTCTCCTCAAATTCTCTTTTTTTCCCCTAAATTTCTCCTTTTTTTCCCCCAAAAAAATCAAATTTCACCCCCCCCCAATTTTAATGCAAGGGGAATAAAATCCCCCAAATTTTGGGAATTCTTTGGATTCTTGGCGGATTCCCTGGATTTTTTTATGAGAATTCCTTGTTTTTTTTTTTTTGTGGGAATTCCCTGAATTTTTTTATGGAAATTCTCTGGATTTTTGTTTCAATTCCCTGGATCTTTGTGGGAATTCCCTGGATTTATTTTGTGGGAATTCCCTGGATTTTTTGCATGAATTCCCTGAATTTTCGCATGAATTCCCTGGATCCTTAAAGGAATTCCCTAAATTTTTAATGGGAATTCCCTGGATTTTTTTGCAGGAATTCCCTGAATTTTCACAGAAATTCCCTGGATTTTTCACTGGAATTTCCTGGATTTTTGTGGGAATTCCCTGAATTTTTTATGTGAAAATTCCCCGGATTATTTTTGGTGGGAATTTCCTGAATTTTTTTAATGGGAATTCCCTAAAGGAATTCCCTGGATTTTTTTAGGAAGTCCCTGAATTTTTTTACGGGAATTCCCTGGATATTTTTGAGAATTCCCTGCATTTTTTTGTGGGAATTCCCTGAATTTTTTAATGGGAATTCCCTGGATCCCTAAAGGAATTCCCTGAATTTTTTAATGGGAATTCCCTAGATTTTTTATGTGAGAATTCTCTGGATTTTTTTTTCAGAAATTCCCTGAATTTTTGCTGGAATTCCCTGAATTTTCACTGGAATTCCTTGGATTTTCGTGGGAGTTCCCTGATTTTTTTATGGGAATTCCCTGGATATTTTTGAGAATTCCCTGGATTTTTGCAGGAATTCCCTGGATATTTTTGAGAATTCCTGGATTTTTGCAGGAATTCCCTGGATATTTTTGAGAATTCCCTGGATTTTTATGGGAATTCCCTGGATATTTTTGAGAATTCCCTGTTTTTTTGGTGGGAATTCCCTGGATATTTTTGAGAATTCCCTGTTTTTTTATGGGAATTCCCTGGATTTTCCCAGCAATTCCCGGATCCTTTCCCGCCGAGCCCCCCTCCCATCCTTTCCCCCCAATTCCCGCCGTTTTCCCGTGGTTTTTTCCCGGGATTCCCGGTGTTTTCCCCCGGGGTTTGAGGAGAGCATTCCCGGTTTTTCCCAGAGCTGCAGAAATCCAAGGAAAAGTGGCAGCGCCTGGGGAAAGCCGCGGAGGCGGCGGCGGCCTGCGAGCGCCTGGGAGAGATCCTGGCGGGACACGGTGAGAGACGGGAATGGGGAAAAACTGGGAATGGGGAAAAACTGGGAATGGGAAACTGGGAATGGGAAACTGGGAATGGGAAAATGGGAATGGGAATGGGAATGGGGAACTGGGAATGGGAAACTGGGAATGGGAAACTGGGAATGGGAATGGGAATGGGAAACTGGGAATGGAAAACTGGGAATGGGAAACTGGGAATGGGAATGGGAAACTGGGAATGGGGAATGGGAATGGGGATGGGAATGGGGATGGGAAACTGGGAATGGAAACTGGGAATGGGGATGGGAAAAAACTGGGAATGGGGAACTGGGAATGGGAACTGGGAATGGGGATGGGAAAAAACTGGGAATGGGGAACTGGGAATGGAAATGGGAAACTGGGAATGGGAATGGGAATGGGAAACTGGGAATGGGAATGGGAATGGGAACTGGGAATGGGGATGGGGATGGGAAATGGGAATGGGGAACTGGGAATGGGAATGGGAATGGGAAACTGGGAATGGGGATGGGAAACTGGGAATGGGAAACTGGGAACTGGGAATGGGAAACTGGAAATGGGAATGGGGAATGGGAAACTGGGAATGGGAAACTGGGAATGGGAAAAACTGGGAATGGGGACGGGAAACTGGGAATGGGAAAATGGGAATGGGGAATGGAAATGGGAAATTGGGAATGGGAAATTGGGAATGGGAAATTGGGAATGGGAAACTGGGAATGGGGATGGGAAACTGGGAATGGGGAATGGGAACTGGGAATGGGAATGGGAAACTGGGAATGGGGAATGGGAATGGGGAATGGGAATGGGAAATGGGAATGGGATTGGGAAACTGGGAATGGGAAACTGGGAATGGGGAATGGGAATGGGGAACTGGGAATGGGGAACTGGGAATGGGGAATGGGAAACTGGGAATGGGGAATGGGAAACTGGGAATGGGAATGGGAAATTGGGAAACTGGGAATGGGAAAATGGGAATGGGGATGGGGAATGGGGAATGGGAAACTGGGAATGGGAAAGTGGGAATGGGAAACTGGGATTGGGGGAATGGGAAAACTGGGAATGGGGGAATGGGAAAAATGGGAATGGGGAACTGGGAACTGGGAATGGGGAACTGGGAATGGGGAACTGGGAATGGGAAATGGGAACTGGGAATGGGAATGGGGAACTGGGAATGGGAATGGGAATGGGAAACTGGGAATGGGAAACTGGGAATGGGGAACTGGGAATGGGGTTGGGGGACTGGAAGGAGATTTTGGGAATTCTGGCCTGGGATTTGGGCCAGGTGGGGTTGGCAGAACCTCTGGAACGTTCCATTCCTGTCCCATTCCATTCCCATTCCCGTTCCTGTTCCCGTTCCTGTTCCTGTTCCTGTTCCTGTCCCACTGGTGTTCTTTTTCCATCCCATGGATCCCAACCTCAATCCCATGGATCCCAATCCCAGTCCCATGGATCCAAATCCCATGGATCCAAATCCCATGGATCCCAATCCCATGGATCCAATCCAGACCCAACCTCAATCCCATGGATCCCATGGATCCAAATCCCATGGATCCAATCCAGACCCAACCTCAATCCCATGGATCCCATGGATCCCAATCCCATGGATCCCATGGATCCCAATCCCATGGATCCCAATCCCATTCCCAATCCCATGGATCCCATGGATCCCAATCCCATGGATCCCATGGATCCCAATCCCATGGATCCCATGGATCCCATGGATCCCATGGATCCCAATCCCATGGATCCAATCCAGACCCAACCTCAATCCCATGGATCCCATGGATCCCATGGATTCCAATCCCATGGATCCAATCCCATTCCCAATCCCATGGATCTCAATATCCCATTCCCAAGGATCCCATTCCTGGTTTCCCATTCCCGGTTTCCCATTCCCGGTTTGTTTCCCAGGCCATTTCCATGCAGCTCTCCGGGAGCACCGGGATCAGCTGCGGCTCCTGGATCCCATTCCCATGGATCCCATGGATCCCATTCCCATGGATCCACTGGATCCCAATGATCCCAATGATCCCAGTGATCCCAATGATCCCAATGATCCCCATGATCCCATTCCCTGTTTCCCAGGCCGTTTCCGTGCGGCTCTGCGGGAGCACCGGGATCAGCTGCGGCTCCTGGAGGCCGCTCCCGCTCCCGATCCCCTGGATCCCAATGATCCCAATGATCCCAATGATCCCATTCCCAGTGATCCCAATGATCCCAATGATCCCCTGGATCCCCTGGATCCCATTCCCTGTTTGTTTCCCAGGCCGTTTCCGGGCGGCTCTGCGGGAGCACCGGGATCAGCTGCGGCTCCTGGAGGCCGCTCCCGCTCCCGATCCCCTGGATCCCAATGATCCCAATGATCCCAATGATCCCAATGATCCCAATGATCCCAATGATCCCCTGGATCCCAATGACCCCAATGATCCCAATGATCCCATTGATCCCAATGATCCCATTCCCAATGATCCCAATGATCCCAATGATCCCATTGATCCCAATGATCCCAATGATCCCAATGATCCCAATGACCCCAATGATCCCCTGGATCCCCTGGATCCCATTCCCTGTTTGTTTCCCAGGCCGTTTCCGGGCGGCTCTGCGGGAGCACCGGGATCAGCTGCGGCTCCTGGAGGCCGCTCCCGCTCCCGATCCCCTGGATCCCAATGATCCCAATGATCCCAATGATCCCAATGATCCCAGTGATCCCATTCCCAGTGATCCCAATGATCCCAATGATCCCAATGATCCCAATGATCCCCTGGATCCCAATGACCCCAATGATCCCAATGATCCCAATGATCCCAATGATCCCAATGATCCCCTGGATCCCATTCCCTGTTTGTTTCCCAGGCCGTTTCCGGGCGGCTCTGCGGGAGCACCGGGATCAGCTGCGGCTCCTGGATCCCATTCCCATGGATCCCCCTGGATCCCAATGATCCCAATGATCCCATTCCCCTGGATCCCAATGATCCCAATGATCCCAGTGATCCCCTGGATCCCAATGATCCCAATGATCCCCTGGATCCCCTGGATCCCATTCCCTGTTTGTTTCCCAGGCCGTTTCCGGGCGGCTCTGCGGGAGCACCGGGATCAGCTGCGGCTCCTGGAGGCCGCTCCCGCTCCCGATCCCCTGGATCCCAATGATCCCAATGATCCCAGTGATCCCAATGATCCCAATGATCCCCATGATCCCATTCCCTGTTTCCCAGGCCGTTTCCGTGCGGCTCTGCGGGAGCACCGGGATCAGCTGCGGCTCCTGGAGGCCGCTCCCGCTCCCGATCCCCTGGATCCCAATGATCCCAATGATCCCAATGATCCCAATGATCCCCTGGATCCCCTGGATCCCATTCCCTGTTTGTTTCCCAGGCCGTTTCCGGGCGGCTCTGCGGGAGCA